AAACAGTTGCGGTTACGTTTTCAAAATGATTTTTTTTCAAAGGTAATGTTGCAAGTTGATGGCGCTACTTTTACTCACCTGGTTGTGTACATTTTCCCATTACTGGCGCAAAGTCTTATGGGGCGGTTCATCCTGTCGGAGCAGCCATCTGTCTCAATCTTCTGGCATATGTCTACGGATGGTCTTGTGGGACGAGGAGGTCTCGTGGGTGGAGGGAGTCTGGTGACGTTGCTGAGCACGTTCACCTGGCTCTGGCAGTGTCTGATGTTCCTGTCAATTTTCAAGGTAGCATCTTCGCATCTCGCTTTGAAGAAGTCACAACTGGAAAACAACAGTCAAGGTAACTTCTATACACATGCAATTTTCTTCTCTTCGTTTAGCAGTGACGTAGTTGTTGTTTTCAAAAAGGATTTTAAAAAACGTTTCTGACTCATTTTGATACCAGAATATTACAATATTATAACAAAATATATGTATATTGGGAAGTTAATTGATATTTTACGTGTGTGCATTACACATGTGCGTGTGCGAAACGGAGGGGTTAATTAGAACTGGGAACGTCCAAAATCTGTTGAAGCTATAGTTTCACAATTAGGTATATGCCGAGTCTTAGTTGCAAGAAAACACATTCACTCACCCAGTTGTGTACATTTTCCCGTTACTGGCGCAAAGCCTTGTGGGGCGGTTCATCCTGTCGGAGCAGCCATCTGTCTCAATCTTTTGGCATATGTCTACGGATGGTCTTGTGGGGCGAGGAGGTCTCGTGGGTGGAGGAAGTCTGGTGACGTTACTGAGCACGTTCAGCTGGCCCTGGAGGCAGTGTCTGATGTTCCTGTCCATTTTCAAGTCGTCGTCGGCACACTGAGCGGTGATGAAAGCGCACCTGTCATAAAACACGCAGAAATTCATTAATAACGTTTACAGAAAATAAATATAAGTTCATTACTAATTTTTTTTAAAATGGGGATTGTAAAGTATAGTAATGTAACCTAGCTATTTGTTTGTTACCTGCTCTTTCTTTTTTTGTCGTGACAAAACATTCAATTAAAAAATAAATAAGACTAAGACGGTGAAAATAATATGTCACTTCTACTGTCAGTATGTGCACATATGTTTATATATATTACCAGTGCACTTTAATTGTAATTAAGCTGATATTTAAGTTAGGGAGAGGAGTTAAGAGAGAGAAAGAGAGTTGAACAATCTACCGCATGTAGTTGTGCAATTTCTAGCGGCCATCACCTACCAGGAAGTATACATTTGCTTATCAGAGCCACATATTCTCAGATTGTTAACTTTCCACCTGTCCTGGCATCCCTTCTCCTCCAAAAGCTGGCAGCGTTCCTCCCTCGACTGCTGGCCGAGGACAGCGCCTATAGTGAATCATTGAAAATTCTGGTATTATTTAAGGAACAGAAATTTCAAAATAACAAATGCTCCTGATATCATAATTGAGGAACCAATAAATAATGCATATCGCGAATTTTAGTATTTTAATCCTAAAAAAAGGAATCAAAATTTTGTACCATTTTAGAAGTTGAAAATCCAGCACTTAAAATATTTTCAATGAGATTCGAAAGGAAAGAATGAAAATTGTAAAAAAAAAACATTTAAAATTATAACTACCAACAATGCACAGACACGTTCTTAATACAGAAATTCCTTTTTGCTTTGTCCATACAGCGATTTCAGTGCAGGGTTGGCCACATCATAATATCAATAGGCACATATGTCTTATATGAATTCAATTTATTTTGCAGTCCCAGACCAAAAAAGCAAACCAAAGTACCAGGCATCATAGAAACGCAAAAGAAATGGTCAGAATTGATGCATATATCTCCTTTAAAGAAAACAAAACTAACAAACAACATAATCCAGATCTTAAAGCGACATTACACCGACTTAGACGGTTATAAAGAACTTCCCTTGAACTGTAGGTTCTTGAGAATACCAAGACATGCCTTACGCGGATTACTTGAGAAAATAACCATCAGATGATAGGTTTTTGAGACCAAGTACACCTAGTTTTCATGTTACCTGCTAAAAAGATCACTGCAATTACCACCTTCATGTTCTTGGACGAAGTTTTCTGCGCCAGTGCCAGTCCTAAGCCCGCCAGTGACTTATATACGATAATCGCCTCCTTAAAGATTAAGATGTGGAAGGTGTGAATACGACGGCTGCTGCGTAGGCAACGTTATGACATAGAACTAATCCGGGATTTCCGGTATGGGTAAAAACCAGTTGCAACTTGCACACATATATATATATATATATATATATATATATATATATATATATATATATATATATATATATATATATATATATATTGAAAAAGGCTCCCTGTGACCCTGATAGAGGACTGTACATCAGCAAAAGAGGATTCCTATAATAAAAAAATGATGCAAAATAGTTGTACCACATCTAGCATCTAGAAGGAGTTAGGCTCCTGCCAAATGTTTGTGTATATTAAGTCTAGGTGGGCTATTTTTGGGTCATTTTCTTTCACTAAGCATCCGTAAGCACAGATATCAGTGTCTGATGTTTAACTATGCTTCATATGCTAGATATGCCCGAGTGCAAGTAATCGAAAACACTTCGCAATTTTACTTTTATGTTTATCATATAGAACATTCGTCAGAAACTCATAACAACTGGACTTTAGCCAAAAAGTGTGACAAGGGCTTAAGATAGCAGGGTTGTGCCACTGATGAAATCTCACGGTCTTTCATGACTGTTTTTAACTTGGATATGTCAATCAATTTTGAGACACTGTCCACATAACCACATGCATGCACATGTAGGTCTGAAAACACAGGGTCCCATATGATTACTTCAAGGTAGGATTAGTCAGAGTATTTGGTGTTAGAATATGGGACGAATGTCAACTGTACAAAGTAATGGACTACGATTCATAGCGGACTACCATTCCTGTCGAATCGGTATCGCTATACATACAGTTTGAACAGTACCTTGTGCTTCTCGTAGATTCTTGTAGATAGTCTTGATATTTCCAGGTAAAGGATTTGAAATGAATCGTGTCGTGTTCAGTCGATCTCAAAAGAGCTACTTATGTTGACCCCCCCCCCCTCCATTGTTTTCTATTCATTTTATTTTGTTTGCTTTTGGATTATTACTTCATTTACACCATTTAAACTCTTCCTTTGGCCTTCTCTAGCTGCTGTGATTTATCTGTGAGCACAAGCTATGTGGAAAAAAATTAAAACTACTGTTAATAAAAAAAAGTCTGTTTAGACTACTGGTCCTTCATGTCACTGGAGGGTGTTAGGATGTACTGTTCCAAAACAGAAGAATTCCCGTATTTCGGTTTCTCATCCCCTCCTTCACGATATGACCATCACCTCTGTTAAAATGTGTCAATCACCATCATCATTATCATCCTCATTTCTCCCACAATGTTATAATCATCTCTCACACATTCTGAGAAGCATCTCTATCACATTTCTGTAAAACGAGGCGCATATCATTGCTTGCTTATGTGTTTCCAACCATGGGTGTAGAATATAGTGTTGTGCATGCTTTTATCTCATATACGGATGAATGATACAGTGTGCTTGGTTATCAACGAGCATTTGAATATGGTCTTGATGGGTATACAAACACACTTTCATACAACGCGGTGGCGATTTAAGTTTAAAAGACGTCGCTGAACCACCAACAATCCATGTTTTTGTACAACAGCTTTGGAACACCTTCGTGTCTTATATTTATTGTATGTTATTACTTGCTATACGGGTACATATATATAATAAATTTGCAACAAAACCAGCATACTTTTATATATAATTTCATTGGCCTCGCCTAATTACGTAAATCTGCATGGACGCAGGCACTTTTTCACATGCACTGTATATGTGAAGTTGCTGGTCACTTCAAAACTGGTCAAAGTTCCAGTGTGTATTGTCCATAGTCTTTATGTCGTTCAATAACTTTATGAGGAGATCGCCAAAGTCAATTTAATATTAAAGTAGATTGAACATTAACGTATATTTAGATTTGATTAAATGCAATAGTCACTGAATGACATAAGCTTACTAAGTGCTGATTAATATCTCTACATAGACGACTAAATAAACTTTCGCTACTGTAGTCAGTTTACGCGATACACAATTAATATGCTGTCAGCAATTCTGCTGTTATTTTCCGGTAAGTATATGTTTTCTTGTAGACAAAATCATAAAAAGTGTAGGCTTCATTGTACATCCCTGAGGTGTATTTAATAGAGGATTTTACATATACATGTCGGCTATTATCGACATTTTATAAATCACGAGTTGAACTCGACACGTGACAAAGTCAGATGTTACGATGGATGCTTGAGTACCAGAATTAGTAGAACAAGCGCATTCCACTTTTTTAGGTTAACGAGATAGGAATTATACATACACTATATGTCCAATAATCTGTTATAATACATTTATTACTGCCTACATGTAAAAAATGTAATAGCATTTGCCTTGTTAGGAGTTTCGGTTTCGGTGAATAGAAATGTTCACCTATCATTTGATTAGCGTCCTGCTGAGCGTAGTTTAAAGCTAAATGAGGGCCTACAACATACTCGTAAAGGAATTGTGTTCTTGTGCTCAGTTATTTATCCTTTCAACGTCTCCCATTGTCTTGACATGACTCATGTATGTGCCACCCATGAGTTCTAAACTGCTATGGTAATTAATATGAACAAAATGAAGATCCCTTCACTCTGTGTCACAGCCGAGGAATTTCATTTCTAGCCGTATTCGCCACCATATCGTCATCGGAAATTGAGTTTCACTGTGATTTTGACACATCCTGGTGTGGCTTTGAGAACAGCTACCATGATCAGTTCAACTGGGTGAGAACAACGGGCGTGACCCCGACCAATCAGACTGGACCTGATGCTGACCATACGTCTGGGAAAGGTAGGCGTACGACAAAGGGTGTGCTTCGGCTGGCGTGGGTAAGACGTCTAACTGGTGTGTCGGGACGGTTAGACGTCTAACTGGTTGAGCCACCCAGTGCATAATTTTGTTGAGATAAAATAAGCTGTGCTGATCGCACATTAATTTAACTGTCCGCTATATTTGCAACTATTAAAGGGCCCGATCTTGGTATTTTCTAAAAGAAAATTGCGACCGCTCTTGCAAAGCACAGCACGAATATTATATAATGTGATACTTTTAGTTTTACACGTTCTTTTTAAGTTGATATGAGTGCCGTTAATTCGTATATTCCAGGCATGTACGCGCACATAGAAGCCTCGCCTCCACGGGTCACAGGGGACGACGCCAGCCTGGCCAAAACACTGGGGAACTCCACAGAGAAACGCTGCCTCTCCTTCTGGTATCACATGTATGGCCGTACCCTGGGGAGTCTTAACGTGAGGACGACGGCGGGGAGGCTGTTTTGGGGTAAAACAGGTAAAAGATTCAGGGTGAAGAGAGCTAAAATAAACCATAAAGGCAATGTTTATGTTTAAAAAAAAAGAGCGGTAGCCGTTTTGAATTCAGCGTGGATTATCCAGAGCGTTTGTATTGCCAACTTTTATTGCGGACAATATTGAATAATAGCAAAAAACATTCCTTAGATAACGCTCCACCTGTAAGTGAGGGAACTCATATACAGTAGGTAATATTGTTCCTATTTAAAATAAAATTAATTTTCGATAAATAGAATACACAGCAGTAATTTTGCAGGTGCGGTTTTTGTACTTGGAACACACTTGTTTTATGTTCCTTAACCTCACTCTGATAAAATGTTACGATATTAAGTAAATAAAAATCATATTAATCCTGTAAGGTGACCAAGGAAACCTGTGGCACGAAGAAGTTCTAGATTTGCCAGCAGGGAGCTATAGCGTCATCTTCAAGGCAGTGCGTGGGGGCGGCGCTTGGGGAGATATCGCCATAGATGACGTCACGATTGTGACAGGCTCTTGCAACAGTGTTGGAAACGGTATGCAAGGCGACTATCGTGAGCTTACGGAATGTTATCACGCTTGGGGTTTATCTATTTATCCATTCGTTTGTTGGTTTAAAGTAAAAACCCTGAGGAAATGCCTTTCTAAAGACGTCTATACGGTATGATGTAATTTCTCCGAGATATTTTCGATTAAATTTTTTATTATTATTATTATTATTATTATTATTATTATTATTTTCTAGATACCAAATTATGGCCAACGCCTGGCACGAGTACAACCACCACAGACACTACAACCACTTCAACCACTACAACCACTTCAACCACTACAACCACTTCAACCATAACGCCACATACGCCAAGACCAGCCAGGTTCAGATACAGCACAACACAGAGACCGATTGGTTTGCATGCAGATCCTCTGAAAGGTAGCGTATATTCTCTTAGAAACAATACACATTTGCTCATCTAAATGTAAATTTTAATTATTGCTTTGGTTTGTAAATGAGTACTATTTATTCCCTGTGTAAAATTCCTCTCGTTGTGACTATGACAGCTTTTAAAATTCCTCTCGTTGTGACTATGACATCTTTTAGGGGTGTCTCTTCCTCTGATCTGTAATTCAAACAGGCACGCGTCAACGTCTCGGCGCTTTTGTGGTACACATTATGACTTATCTCCTTGGTACAGATATGACTTCCTTAATCTACGTATAATTGTGAAATGTCAATCATCTCCCTGGTAAAGATGCAGTTTACTTATAAAGGGGTATTTATTTTACAAATTAGATCACATTCCACTGATCGCCGGGGCTGGAGCTGGAGGGTTTGTTGCCTTGGTTGTCACAACGCTTGCTATCTTCTTCTTAAGAAGGTAACTATTTTTGCATAAACAAAGGCACATGCCTTTCATCAGTTAAATCTTACACGTCAGACTTTGTTAGTTCTTTCGGTATATACTCCAACAAATTGGTGTTTGGGTATGTTTGATAATGCCATGTATGATAGTGATACGCACAGTGGGCTTTTCACATATGCGCATAGAGTTATACATACATGTATTACTTAAACATTGTACCACTCATTCGACGGTGCGTGGTCTAAGCAATGTTTCCTTAACTCATTATTATAATTAAGTGTCAGTCGAATAACATCATTTTATTGAACAGAATTAGTCTGCCGTCAGTTGTTTTCCAATTCTATTTTGTAGGCGACTTGTACGTGCTCCGGACAATCCCGACTACATGACACCAGGGAAACCAGACCTCAATCGCTCTGAATCCCACGATTCTTCAGTGAACTTTTCTAACTCAATAGACATAGGGGCCGTCGTTACGCTAGGTCCGGGCCGCGAGGTCGCCGTGGAAAACCCCTTGTTTGGAATCAACACGGACAGTAAGGCGTAACTGTGAAGCTCAGTCTTGTTACCTTATCTCTGAACTGACACGTAAGACCACACAATTTATAAGAGGCGAAAGCTGAGGAAGAAATTATCAAATAGATTCAAAGCCCCGAACGCATGTATTGACGTTATACATACATAGACAAATGACATGTAGGATGTAAACCCCCGAATCGAAATTTGCATTATATTCTATGCCACGGATCACCTCAATCTGCAGTTTTACTTTATTTTTCTTTAACTGGGTTCAGGTATTTTGTGATCTGAAACTTAAAATAAATCTTGTAAGGAATAAATGATGTTGTGTTCGTGATAAAGCATTGCAGGATTCTGTTGTACATTTCTACTCTTTTCGTTATGAATGTTTTTGGCCTCAGTAGTGTTACTAAATGTAGTGCATTTGTACTTGCAACGTACATAAACAAAGGACGTTTACTCAATCTATTTTACGTCACCCGCAATTTAAGATAGTATTATTGCAATGAATCAACAACAATAGGAGATAAGAGCGCGACATTGTTTTATTTACTGAAATGATATAACCTGTCGCGCTAATACACTGCGATATTCAATTAATACTTGAGATTACTTATCTACTTAAGAGTCTTGTGTACGCGATATCACTGAAGGTGAATACCAGTATCGGTAGCGACATTGAATTATACTTAATATATCAGTATGTCAACAACGCAAATTGTAAATTACCGTATTACTATATTAAACTTAATTAAAAACGACGGAGAGGATGACAACATAATAACATTGCAGTTGTAATGGGCTGAGATGATTTGTTATTGCACTAGAAGTCGCAATGAAAGGGTGGCATTTATAACTGGCGTAAATTAGTCCATGCATTGTATTTTGGCCGCGTTTTTGGTCGCATATACATGTATTCCCTGTAATGTCCTGTGTTAATATCGACGTCTTACCAATTATTAAATATAATTTATCCAAATGCATTTCAAAATCATTAAATAAATGATATATTGCCTCGAATATTATTGCTTTTCCCAGCTAAAGTTGTACGTAAGGCATTTTTCAGTCATACATTGATAAGCAACACGAACCTTGGTTAATTCTTACATAAAACCACCCGTTTCTCTTAAATCCATTTTCTTCTGTGTATGAAAAAATTAAATGTGGAAAAAAACATTAATTCTTTAACAACATCGGTTTAAGATATATATCTAAACGTCATGCCTTTTTCATAATAGCAAAGCATTTTGACATGGATTTTAACGACATCATGCGACCGATGACGACATCCGCTTTCCGGTAACTGGAGCGCCACGTACCGCCACGAGCTCTGCTTCTTTGTACTCATGCCCAAGAAGATCACCAAACATCGGGTTTTCTATCTCAACTGTGTCATTGACATCGCTCCCTTGAGAATACTGCACCGTGTAATGCTTTGTTGAAATTCGGTCTGTCAGAAGGGTCCCATCCCCTCCTTGCGGTCTCATTCTGTGTCTGGAAGATTGCATATACATTTAGAGTTCAAACTTTCAAAACGAAATAGATAAGTGTATGATTTCTTATGGATTTTAATCGCAATTTCACTTAATTTTCATCACTAGCAGTTCTATTTCTCTTTTCTGTGCAGCCTTGCTCTGTAGGAAAACACGTTGTATATGAAACAGTATTTTAATGCGACATCGAGCGGTACTGCTAAAGTTACACATGGCCTACAGGTACATTTCACTGAATGTTCTATTTCCGAAACTTCGCACAGTTTTCAATATTACTAAAAAAAGGAAATGGGGCCGACTTTGATCGTTTGTTCCATATCAATGTAAAAACAAATTTACAATTGTTGATAAAGTTATGAGACACCTGGGCTAACCCTGAAACCAGAGACTTTTGTTGCTGCAATATTGTGCGGAACCAGCCTTTGTTTGCTGAATCATCAACGATCCTCGCTATATTCTTAGATCCGCCTATTTCAATGGGGTATTTTATGGCCATCATTATTTTCCCTATAAGTCACAAATAGACGGATGGATCCATATCAGGCCCAATGTGAACCAAGTGTTATTCGATATGTTTGCTTGGTGATACCCGGCCGTAAGAGTATACATGTAATATATGACCTGACAAGATAACTGGTATCTGTATGTTTGGAATGTATACAATCAATAGTAGGGTCATTCAGTACATTATGTGGGCTTTTGATGTCTTTGGAAATGCCTTAAGGAACATTTGCATTTACCTTCTCACAAGCAACGCTATGATAATTATCACAACCACCACTGTTACCCCGCCGCTGGCAGCACCGATGATGACAGGTAGAATATCTGAAATATATAGCCTAAATGTATAAATATTAAAAATAAGAGTCATTATTTTATAATAATTTGATCAAAATTAATTGGGCAGCCCTCAGCATACATGCAATGCTAATATCAGTGGATGTTAATGTCAAAGGCATGCGTGCAGTATATAGATGTCGTATTTTGGACAAATCAATTATGTTCAAGTGTATTGTATATATAAACTAAATTACGTAGTGCCATATATAATAGTTTTTACCGCATACTGCACTGAAGTATACACATGGGAGATTATAAGGAAAAATGCAAATAATAACATTTTTTCATAATCAACAATATTATATCATACGGACAACATGGGCTATTATCGACTTAACCTTCTGTTTCTTCAATAAAATGTAATTTTCTGTTTGTCGATAATAATGAAATATTATAAACGTTAATGAAGCATGTAAATACCTCCTATTGTGCCTTTCTCCTTGTTATCCTTCTCACTCTGTCCCTCTTGCGAACCAGTTTTGTGCACAGCAGTTGTCATTTCATTTTGAGCTCTCTCCGATTCAGTAGTAGTAAATTCAAAGGTTTTGGGGGACTTGGGAATCGTGGTCTTCGTATCAACGTTTTTGGACTGTGTCGTCGTCCGTTCCATTGTCGGCTTGTCGGTAAGTAATGTTGATGATGTGGATAATGATGGTGAAAATGTCGTTAATGTCACACTGGTTGGTGGGCCTACTGAAGTTCTTGCATTTTGCTCTGTCGTGGTGGGGTAATGGGTGACTTTAACTGTAGGCGACAGCGTAGTTGGATTGTTATCTTTTTCTTTAGTCACTTTGCCACCGGTGCCGACGGTTGACAAACTCCCCTGTGTCATTTCTACTGTCCTCGTCGTTGCGTTAAACTGACCTTTGGGTGTTGAGGTCAAAATTGTCGTAGAAGTGCCACGCTGGACAGGTACAGCTGATGTTCCTATGCCCCATGTCTGAGACGCCACTGAAGGATATCTGGTTGACACTGTGGTACTATGTGCTGCCTTACTACTGCCTTTACTTGATTCCGTTGGTATAGGGTACCTTTCTGTTGTCATCACTGTCACAGATTCTGATGGTACCCTAGCCGAAATTGCAGTTTGGAACTCTGTCGTCATAGTTTTAAGTGGTCTGTATGTCGTCTCATGGCGTGTGCTTAACTGTTCTGTTGTCAATGGCTCGGATGTTCCACTGGACAATGTCTCCACTGACGTCGTCGAAACTGTTTCTGTTGTTTGCTTAAAATGCGTAGTTTCATAATTATAGGTAGATTCTGAGATCCGTAAATCCGTCACCGCAGGTTTAGATGCGGTAGGCTTAGAGGAATGCTTGTTGGTTGAAGAGCTAATTGATAAACTTGACACAGTCGGCGACGTTATTTCACTCGATGTTGTAGGTAGCGTTGTGGAAGGTGCAATACAAGCACCTGTTTCTACCATGACGTCATCAAGACCAATATCCCCAGATGTCCCGTTACCGGCCACGCCCTCAAACATCACACTGTAGGTGTCGCTTGGGATTGTTACTCTCGCTTCCAACCACGTGTTTCCTTGGGCTGTATTTTAATTTAAATTATAATTTAAATAAACTGTATTTTAATTCCAATATGATTAAATACTGGGGATATCTATACAAACGCCCTTTCTTTTCACGGAAGTAGTTTGAAAAATTAAATAAACCCAAAAGATAACAATAACCTACCTGCGCTTTGGCTTAATTGTGAAATAATTATATCAACCATATCTACCGAAGCAAACAGAGGAAGTAGCCCAGAGCCTTATCAAAACGTTAAAAATGAAAAAAAAAATTGACTAGTACATTTAATATACCTTTAAGATATATTAATGTAATATACCTTTTGATTTGCTCCACAGCAAATGCGTAGACCCGTTCATCGAGTAAACGTTCAGTGTCCCAATGTCGCTGCCCCACATGTGATAGTAAAACACCAGGCACCCCGGCTCCTGCAGTGTTAACTGGGGACTGCTGATGGCGGCTGATATACCGGGGATAACTAAGCCAGTGTGTGCCAAGTACATGTACCTGCCTGCAGGGTGATATATATATATATATATATATATATATATATATATAGAGAGAGAGAGAGAGAGAGAGAGAGAGAGAGAGAGAGAGAGAGAGAGAATTTCAAAACATAAAAATTAGCTTAAACACATAAAAAATCTGTTTTTCCTTTTTTCAAAACTGATTGTTCGAAGGTTGCTTGTTTAATTCTGAGTGCACGATTTACATAATGTTTTGACTAACCTAGTCCCGTTGTCAGTGTATGGTCCCCACTTGGCCCTGTCTTTGGTTCCAGGGTGGCCCCACTGTACCATTTCCAACTCAAACCGTTTGTCACGCTGGACTGGAAGCCGCACTGAGAACCGTCAAATGTGCACACCCACACTACAAGAAGCACGTTTTGAAAGATAAAAATAACGTATAAACAGTTCAGCCTTTGTATTCTAATTACGTTCAGAAAAAATTCTCAAAATTATATGCATATGCTTAAAGCACGTTCATTGCTACAAATGCGTCATGTAAAATTGAAGACGGAAGATAAATCATTATAAATATTTCTTTTTTTATAAAATCTATTACAATATTTTAATTTTCAAAAATAATTAATTGCCGTTTTCATACACGTGCGAATAGCATTTTAAGAAGTACCTGCGTCACATCTCCCTTTGGCTAGTATGACGTCATCAATGGCTATATCACCTCTGTACTCTGTCCCTCTGGTGGCGGTGAAACTGATTTCTGTGAACTGAGGGGGCAAAGTGGCAGAGCTTACGCGCCATTTGTTCCCTTGGTCTCCTAGCAAAAACCGCATATTGCTTATGAAAAACGAGGTGTACATGTCATGTGCACTTAACTTAGAAGTTGAAAGAGCGTGATTTTTTTTTCATTTTTAATGTTTATTGTTTCATTTTTTAAAGTCAGTGTTAACACCAAGATTTATGTAATTATTTGTTTATTTATCTTAATTGCAATTTACTTATTATTTGTTTACTTGAAGGTAGTGAACTACCTTCGTCACTTGTTAATAGAAATTGAACGCACAGATTTTAAATACCTGACTAGACCCTACTATATGTTTTTAACACTGTCGTCCATGTCCATCAACATTAGGCCGACCTTACCCTCCATAGTCCATACAGCTAAAGCAGACGTGTCAACGGACACCTTGAGACTCCCGATGTGAACCCCATACATATGGAAAGCAAACTGTGTACAGCGTGGGATGTTCAGCTGCGGTAACACGGGGTACAGGAGAACAGCTTGGTCCCCTGGTCGGCGCGGACTGGACGATTCAATATACATGTAGAAGCCTGATAAAAAATAATACCCTGAGCGTGATAAAGGTCATTGTTTCGCATGTAACGTGAATTCAAATTGACCCTGCAGGGTCAAATACATGTTGTATGAAGCAGGACTGTATATCTGCGGCTTGTAGAAATCCAGCGTGGACTTTATGCAAGAAGCTCGCTTTTACAGGTATTATTAATGGACATTTATAGAAAAGATGATCCAGCCAATTTTTGTTAAATAATCTGCTGAAAACCCCTTCCTCCAGAAAAGACCTACATGTACGCGTAAACTCATTTTGAAGCCACACGCTCTAATGGGCGTAGAAATAAAAATAATATCAATTAAGGTAACCAGATTATTACATACCATTTCCGGTGGTATGGTCTGAACTGGGCCCTGTATTGGAACTGCTTGTACTTCCCTGGCCTCGGTTCCAGTTAAATGTGTCATTTTTACTCTGACGAAATCCACAAATGGTCAACTCTTCAAACGTGCAATTGAGCTCTAGTGAAACGGTATAGAAAAGGGCTGTGACAATGATTTCAGAAGTACTGTTTGCACTGAGAAATAGGTCTAGGCGAACTATAAAACCAAAAATCCACATATAATATCATATGTCCCCGAAAAAATGAGTACCACATTAATGCTATAGGTTATCGATGATATATGTACGTTCTAGATGCATCTATTTTAGCTGCATAAGAGTCGAACTGATCATTTTATTCAGCTGATTCACAGGGGCAGGTCAACTATCACTTGTTACCGTTCACTTTGTTATATTACAACAAATGACAATGTACATTTTTTAAAAACTGCTTTACCAACGTTTGTGTCTATCGATAAACCGTGCGTGGTAGTTTCCTTGTCCACTGTCGTCTCTGAGAAAGCGGGGGTAGTGTGGTCAGTATGATAAATGCTTTGCTCAGTGGAGGTGAATATGGGTCCACTTGTGGTCCCTGATACCGTCGTATCATCCCCAAACTGTGTTGACGAAGGCGTGTATACTGTTGTGGTTTCCGGACATGACCCCTTTCGTATAATGACGTCATCCAGGCCCATACATTGAATATCTGTCTGTGTGACGTCAAATAACAGCCTGTAACTTCCGGACGGGAGTGGTGCGTAGGTCTGGTGCCATTCTGCGCTATTACCTGTGAATTACCATGTATTCATTACAACCTTGAGATTGAATATCATTTTTTAAAGAAACTCCAAACTCAGTCATGTATAAGTTGAATGATTCTAATATCAAGTACAAGTACAAAACTTAAACATTGAAGCAGTTTTGCAGATGCAGTGCAATGTACTATTACTGGGTATGTGAAGCAGTTATAATATATATAACAATGCAAACATCCATAAAGGCTAAAGCAACCCTTCAAGATTAGCAAAAAGCGAATAGGGTTTAAACATTAAGGTGAAAGCAATGCCAAATCAGTCAGTTTTCTCGTAGAGTTGCAGGCATTAACCACTTACCAATAGTTTCATTCCAAACTTGCCGACGAAATCCGTTCGAGAACAGAAGAAATATGGCAAGAAGTGCCCCGCGCCCTGCACCGCTGAATACATAATATTGGAATTCTAGACAATAGTCCGTCGTCATGGTGATTTCTGGTGACATAAGGACAAAGTGAGACCCTCCAAGGTTTCCAGATAGGTTTAGAAAAGCATAACTTCCTAGAAATGAAATGTCCCAATTTAAAGTCAATTATACGAAGCACTACAGTACGAATATGAATGGCAAATGGCCACTGACCTCCTCTGAAATGTTATAATCAAAGTATATTATACAGTTCATCCGCAATATCAACTCAAAACATTTTCATTCCCATTCATTGAGTACGTAGTCTTAGTTTCTGAGTTATAGAGGTGGTTCATAAAGAACGACCTATTTTAAATTCAGATGGAAAGTAAAATGGTCGTTTTTGCGGACCACCCTGTGCACATTGCACCTTGCATTTCTGTTTTACGTTGAGAAGGACATAAAATGTACGATAAAGCTTAAAGTCGTCTTGGAATAGCCAACTGCGGCGAAGAGATCGCGTGGAAATCCTTTCCTTCAGTACCAGTGCACTTATTTGCCTTACCTTGGCGCGAGGGGTTGGGACAACACGGAGTGGTTCACGACAGATTATATATTTACCGTTTCCATTTACCAATGTGGCATCACCTCCTGGACTACACCAACTGTGTCCGCCTGGCTCGGGTGAGTTTCTCTCCCAGGTCACGTTCTCAAAGGAACTCTGTGTTGTAAATCCACAGAAGGAATATTCAAATGTACATATCCATGCTGAAAGGAAAATATAAAAATGTTATGACACATAGGATACATATATTCAACAGATAGATAGATAGACAGATAGATAAATAGATCATCTGTATACATGCCGAAACGTTTAATATGATGTCATGAAGTTAATGCCGAAGAAAATGCTAAGTATGGTTAACTGAAATATTTCATATAAAACTTGTTATTTTATAAATAACTTACTAAATGTACATTGCATAAGCTGTATATATATTTGCATAGTTGCATTTACTTTTTAACATGTCACCCATAATTTCTTAATTACATGTAACTCGCTTATTAAAGACAGTAAAGACAAATGAAAAAACGAACAAAACGTTAACATACCTGTATCACAATCACCATTATCAACAACGACGTCATCTATTGCGATATCTGACTGATAGCCGTTTCCTTTGATAGCTTCAAAGGCCACTAAAGATGTGCCAGGGGTTACTGTGACGTTGGCTTCATACCAAACGTTGTACTGGTTACCTAAATGGTTGTAAACTAGGTTCCAGTTGAGGTATATATATATATATGTGTGTGTGTGTGTGTGTGTGTGTGTGTGTGTGTTTTACCTACCTGAATTCGCCAGCACCAGAATTGATTGAAATGAAGTGATATAGTGGTCGGTTAAAGTAAGACTAGCAATTGTAACACGTGTGTTTAAAAAGTCTTAAAATTAGTATATCATTATGTATTTTTCCCTTTTCTTTAAAACCTATCCACGTAAAGCCACCAAGAAAAGAAACCTTTTGCAAAACCTTTTTTCTCTCTGCCCAATGTTAAAATGAAATATACCCCTAAAATTGGAGCATCGATGTCCCACTTACCTGACAAACTCCACAATGTTTCCCAGTCATACTTGTTCCCAGCCTGGTTCGGGGCCATCACATTAGACCGGTTTAGGGCCAGCACATTCAGGGTCCCAGTCCGAGTACCAAACATGTGATACGCGAATCTCAAACAACGTGGAATATTCACTGGTGTAAGGATTGCGGAGGGGAGAACCAGGCGCGCTGTGTGACGATACATCCGTGGCGAGGAAGCCTCTATGTACATGTAATAGCCTGGCAAAAAATAATAATAAACGATGCAGATTTTTTGACATTCGGTTGCATTTACTGGTATGTAACAATACCTGTAATTACAATACTGAACACATTGGCATTCACCTACCAAAGGCTATAGTTTATTGAACTCCAAGCAATATCATTGCATTGACTACCTTAAACACACGGCGGAAATATAACAGATATCATATGTCATGATCAAACGCACTGTAACCTATAGCGACGCATAGGTCAAGCCTTCCTGTATTAACAACTCATACCTGATCCGGTCGTGTGGTCACCGGATGGTCCGGTACCAGTGCTAGACGTGGAACCTTGTGATCGTGTCCAGTCAAAATCGTCAGATGCTGATTGTTCAATACCACAGATTGACGTCTCAAACGTGCAGTTGAATACTAAAAAACACATGAAATACCCATTCATGCATGTAGCTCACGTTACAAACAAGTTTGTCAGGCAACATATATTAAACGGTAATAAATGCACTGAAGCTATATACATGTAGATACTTCAATACTAATAAACATCTCTAATTTGTCTTAAATAGCTTTGGCCACAATAATGGATTTTATTTTTGAATTTTTTCGTGGCAATTCCATGTACTGTATTTGGCGTGAGCTTTAAAGGTACATACGAACCGAGCATCGGTGGAGCGTGGATTCCCAGTAACACACGTAAACCATTTCTACTAGATTCTTATATGACTCTAATAAAATCGACATGCCAAGGGATAAACTGAATAGAATACTCGATCAGCCATAAAATACCTTTAGACTGCTCCTTTCTTCAAATTTTTGGTTGTAAATTTAACCTACTTTCGTGACCTAGTTTCGTGACATAAAGCTTAGAATGCCATCAGAAAAATCCGTTCAAACATCATTTTCGGGTAAAATTAAACAATGCCTTTTGGTAATTATCTTAGTTATACTACTTGAAACTATATGCTGGCATTTGGTTGGTTTTTGTGACAAAAAATTGACTTTGTATGCATCTTTAAGTATCCATCACTCAGTATTACACAAAGAGATGTTAGACGTAATGTCGCTTCACCTGTAATTAAAGGATCGCCAAAGGTCAGCCGCGGATACTCTGTGGTCAAGCTCTGGGAGGTAGGGGACGTCAGCTCCCGTGAGGCAAGAATAGAATGGTCAGTTGGGGTCAGTCCAGCCAGACCAGGCATATCTTTTGTGGTTGTTTCAGTTGAGGAGGGTATCATTTTCGTTGAAATAGAGTCAATACTGGTGGTTTCCCTCTCAGTGGTGGTATCTGTTGTAGGGTAATTCACAGAAGTAGTAGCCGCAGTAGTTTTAATTGTTGTAGTAGACGTGGGTGTAGTAGTCTTGGAAGTAGGCCTAGTTGTGGTGGTTTTGGTCGTGCTTGTTGACCTCATGGTCGTGGTCGCCTTTGTCGTGGCAGTCGTCTTTTGCGTTGTAGTAGTTGTTGTCGGGGGTGGCGTTGTAGGGTAAGGAGGACACGCTCCCGTGCGGATCATGACGTCATCAATGGCAATGTCGCTGGATTTGCTGTACCTTGTCTTTCCCTGAAATATGATGCTGTATTCTCCGGCTGACAGGGGGACGAGGGCCAAGTTCCAAATGTCACCAAGGTTTTCTGGAAAATTGACGGTGAAAAATCATTGAAAAGCTCATGCCTAGAATGACAAAATGGGTTATGCTTTCATGTTGGTTTGTACTACTGACATCACCTGCGCAGACGTATCACATGTATTTGACGCTTTTACGTCTGTACATGAAACTTTCAGATAAATTGTCTTTGACTAATCGTCAATCCAGTTTATTTGTGACACACTGCTATCGGGGTTCGCTATATGCGACATTGCAAATCAAACTGTAAAAATACTTTGATATACCTCGTCTTCTATCAAGACTGATAAATAAGCATGTCCATCAGTTATTGGCGCAGAACATGCATGTTTGTATTTAGGTGAAGATTGGTGGCCAGGTGCGTACTAATTAACAGACATACCTCCCCTGCGAAACCACAGGGCTGTTTTAAGATCTACTGAGGAGAATACACTGAGGTCGCCCATAGTCCCGAAGCCGTACATGTGGTAGTAGAACACCAAGCAGTGCTCGGAGGCAAACTGCATATTTTTGGTCTTCAGGTCGGCGAGTTTGTTGTATGAAACGCCATTGGCTTCTATGTACATGTAGTGGCCTTGCATGAGAAAAATGTATATATAATACGTATGGTCTGACAACGCAATAATAACTGTAAATATAAAAGAAACTATGCAATGAATGCGCCATACTTGATCAGCTTGTTGTACTACTGCTATTGAACAAATATATTCCCGTTCTGTTTAAGTCGCCGCAGCCTTTTGCAGCAAAAAATCATTGGTGAATTTAGAAATCCGACTGACTCTTTCGATCAAAAGCAAATAAGGACTACAAGATGAAGCTGTGCAAGGCGCCCATACAGCAGCAAAGTATTTTAATAATGATTAAAACCATTGCTCTGAATTAATTCTTCCTCCCACCAAAGAAAATAGGAAAAAACAACAATAAGACATTTACATAAACATTTTCATTTACCGTTTTCAGACATGGTTGTATGATCACGTGACGGGCCCGTGTTTGAAGATGGCGTCCGCCCAGAGTGTCGCGTCCAATCAAAATGATCAGATTGACTTTGTTCAAAGCTGCATATATCCTTGTCAAATGTACACAACCATACTAAAATAAAACAGACGATGTGTAATTATACATATATTAAATTGATTTTTTCTCGTTCTCCTTTGGTAGGACGATAGACTCACCTGTAAAACTCGAAAAGCAGAATACTCAGATCCATGACACAAGCAGACCATACAATATTAACATGATAACGATAGTTTTGAGGAAACCAAACACTCCTACATACTACTTCCGCAAAACATTTTTAATAAAGTCCTTCTTGAAATTATACGATTTCTCGTGCACTACTTTTCTCACCTGTCTGGCAATCGCCTCTGTACATTGTGACGTCATCTATGGCTATGTCACATTGGTAACCATTGCCTCTGACCGCCTGGAACACCACAGCAAAGCTACCTGGTGGTAAGGAAATACTGGCTTCCTGCCACTTGTCTCCTTTGTTCCCTGGAGAGTAAATTGCTGATTAGATTATCCCCAACCTCAAACATTAAATTTACCCCAATTTGACAAATTTTAGCAAGATATAATAAAATGTGATATATCGTTAGATAATCACGACAATCGATGTGGTTGTATGCTGCAGCAGATTATTCTAAGATCCTGATGACAAGAGAAAGGAAATCAATTTGAAACTAAAATGAGTCGTACTTTCTTTGAATTCCATTCTTCAATTCTTTCGGGATGCACTCACATAACATATTGATAAAACGTTGACGAACACTAGGTACGTGTACTGGTTGACTAAATTGATTTTGCCGTTCTCACATGCGAAGATAGGCATATATCACTTCTTTGACACTAGGGTTTTACTTGTACAGCAATAACGTTTGAAATTCCTCAATGTGGCTTGTTTTCAAATTTATGATCATGTAGCAAAACATGCAGCTGTAGGTTTTGTGTTTTGGTCATCCGTTGGCTATGTTCGAGCCGAAGTTGAGATATTTCCCAGCTTCGGGTCGAAGATAGCAAAGAGGTCACCTCAGCCAAAGACAATGATTGCATAATGTATACCATAATGAAGGGTGCCGCTTTTGAAACAAAGGTAGTAGAAAGCAGGCAATAACAGCCATGTAAAGACAAACCGCACAAGGTTATAACCTGCATAGCTTTGCCAATAATGCCTCTGACTTTTATACCGTTTTCATTCCAAATACTGGTTGTCTGGCCGCCGGAAAGCTTCTGCACTGTTAGGGAACCAATGTTTCTCCCGTACATATGGTAGGCAAAGGACAGGCACCTGTCTATATTAAGGAGTGGAAATGACGTCGACTGCAAGTTCGCCGTGTATCCACTCCCTTTGCCGGATGCTTCGGTGTACATGTAATAACCTGCATGGATCAATAATTGTGAGCAAAATAATTTCAAGACACCAAAGCTATAAACTGCGACTGCAAATTTAATTTATCAATGGTCGAAAGGCTGACATTGCTGTTGGCGAACTTAAGATTCCAAAAAATAACGAAATTACCTATCGATTATTAGATGCATTACAATAAATAGACGCAAACTAGCCTTGCAGTATATTTTTATAAACTTTCACCTAGAGTAAATGGTTTTGCGGTCGTTTGGAAACAATGCAAACGCAAGTGATTTAAGTTCTAAGTTACCGTTCCCATCTGTGTGATCTTCAGACGGCCCTGTGGCTGAACTAGATGTCGCCCCTTTGAAACGCGTCCAATCAAAGTCATCGTTCTTTGGCTGGGTAAACCCACAAGTACCGTCCGCGTCTTCATCAAAAGTGCACTGGAATTCTTCGCGGGAAAAATAAATTTACATATTCATGTAAATACAGCTCGTGTCTGATGCAGAAATAACACTGTGCTTCATTCTATGAACATTTTAAACAAATAAAACAGACCAAGTACAGATGGCGCAAACTGTTGTTACATGAAGTAACCCACAGTAAAGTGTATTAGCACATAACATGTCCTTAAAATAATTGTATGATTACAGCTTGATTTTATCGAGCGGTTTCGGGCAACTTGGCTACTGCAGCCACAGATGCTACAGTTATCATACTCTACCTTCCCTGTCTCCAGCCGTCCCTCCACCCCCACCGCTGTCACACGCGTCATCAGTGATCAGCAGGTCGTCTATGGCCATATCACTCCAGATATTGGTTCCTCTCACCCCCTCAAACACCACCTGTCCCGTTCCAGGTGGAATGTCCACCTCAGCTCTGTGCCAGAAGTTGCCTTGGTCACCTGGCGATTGTTATTTTATTTTTTTAATAATTGTCTAATAATCATAAAGCGCATATAATAATAAGAAGAACAACAACAACAATAATAGTAACAATAATAATAATTATTATTATTACAATATGTTATACATGTATAAGTAAGTCGGAAAGTCGGGTATTGTACATCAACCAAAATGATATTTTGATTAACTTTAACACCGATTTTCAATTGTAAATATTACCCCTAGTTTGATGTTTCTAAAAGTCTCTATATCCATCGCCCTAGTACGTGCCTTAACAGACTGGTATTGCTTTTATAATCCACTCAAGTTTGTCGTTGAAAACGCATAGATACTTAGGTATAAAAAGATTGTTTGATTTGTTATTAGTTCAGGACTTTAAAACAATTATTGTCTGGGAATTTATCGAACCCAGAACTAATAAACCACCTTTTGGAAAGACTCGTGTTTGTTTGGACTATAAATTTCCTTTTTTAATTTACTCTTTATCTCTGACAAGGGTGTTTACCCCGACCTGCTCAAGTCAGAAGTCAATGTGGGGACATACATCGAGGCAATACATACATAAAAATCTACTATGGAAAATGGCTCACAAAAATTTACCCAATGAAACATTTAACAAAAAAATAAATAAAAACACTCAGATGACGCAGAGCTTTGCCAAGGCAGCTCAATCCTCGTAATAATTCATAATAATTATTGTCTGGGAATTTGAACTAATAAACCACCTTTTGGAAAGAGTTTTGAAAGTGTGTTCGGATCATAAATGCCCATTTTCACTTTACTCTATATCTCTGACAAGGTGTTTACCCCAACCTGCTCAAGTCAGAAGTCAATGAAGGGGCACACATAGAGGCCATCTACTATGGAAAACGGCTCATAAAATTTGAAGTATATAAAGGAAAAACATTCAGAGGGCGCAGACCTCCGCCCAGGCAGCTGAGTTTTGATAATTATTCATAACTTATTAATCAATTAATTATTTATCTAAATGTTCATTATTGATTAATCAACTACATCATTTGTGAGTCATGAGCAAAAATGATCAATACGGCCCTATCTCGCAATGTTGAAGAATCCTTACAAATTCCTAGATAAATGTGGTGATCCAGATTACACCAAAATGTAATCACTTTTAACTAGCCTGCCAATTTCTCAGTGAAAAGTTCATCGTAATACGTCTGTAAATTTTGAGTTACGCTGGTGACAAACTGACTAAACAAATAAGCATGCGAGCTGAGGTGATAACATGGGTTCATGGGGGGGGGGGAGGGGGGGTAATAAATTGTCATTTACAATATCGCCCAAATGTTTTTATCATAAAGGAAACCTGCAGGCATCCATTAATTTGTTTAATTATTAGTCATTGCTATCTCTTAATAATTGTACTCATAGCACCTACCGTCCTTAGACCAAAGAGCGTTAGTCAGGTCTGACGTAGTGTGTACTCTAAGTGAGCCCATGGCGCTACCGTACATGTGATAATAGAAGACCATACATCCGCCGATTGATGACAGGACTGCGAGGTTCGGGCTGGTTAACTCCGCTTTGTCATTGTTAGACGATCCTGAAGCTTCTGTGTACACGTAATATCCACCTGTAGACATTAATCAACAGACACATGTACTTTAAATTGAATTATTTCACCATTTGTTGTATGTTTATACGTGTAGCACTTCGTTTGTTTCTTTAGCTCCGAGATGGGTCTCAGACAATTGCATTTAGAGAACGCGTCCAGAATTCTATCCTGGGTACTTGACTCTTAGAAATACTTTGTCTTTCTTTTTCACAAAAGAACATAATTGAATAACTACTAAATCCACTGATACACTGTTACCATTCCCTACCGTTCCCCGTGTGGTCGGCCGTCGGTCCTGTGTTGGTGGAGGATGTGTATGCCTTGCGTCTTTGCCACTGAAACTTCCCGGTCGCTTTGGTGGCAACAAAGCCACACAGAGGGTCGGAACTGTCGTCAAAGTTGCAGGTAAAGAGCTCTTTTCCACTTGTCGTAACTAGAAACACTGAACGTTGATAAATAAATTGGCACCTTATGCGCAACTACACCCTATTCAGAAAGCGAAGGGTGGTGAAGCATGAGAGATAGGCTATATAATGATACGCTGTGATTGCAGGTGAAAAGACTTGCTGCATCGGAGATTGTTTCTTGTAATGGCTTATATCACAGATAAGTATAATATTCTATGTGGAAACTGTTTTCGAAAATGCTAAAATAATTGCAAATCCTACTCCCATATCAACGTCCATTTTGAGAAGCTCGTAAGGAACGAGAATAGACAAAAATGTCCACATTTCTCTCTTTCACACAACACTGATATATATTATTTAAAGACGTTATTGTTTTATCAATTAAACTTACTGAAATGCAAAACGAGAATCCTCAGCCAACACAGGGCGCCCATTTTACACTGAATAAGGACAGTTCAGTTGACAAAGACGCTCATGGAATCTAGGGTGACTGCTAGCGGTGTATTTTACGCAATTTATTGCGGTGTCAGTAATACATGTTATAACCTGTTTGTAATCCGGACCTTTTATCTTGATGGCACTTGTAGGTTAATCTTTACTTTCTCAATCTCTTATCTTGCAACTAGTATTAGTTCTATCTGAGCCTCCTAATATTAATAATCCGTATTGACTAGACATTTACTGTATACTGTTTCTTTTTGACTGTGACTAATTTTAGTTCCTGATAATCGAGAAAGGAATTCAATTGGAAACTTAGATGAGTTGTACTTTCATTAGGGGTAGATTATAATTTGACAAGAACCCCTTGATATGCAGGAATATCAACATCCCTCGGTTTATTTAGCTTTGCTTTCATAGAAAAAGAAACCGTGACGAAATTCACTTTACAGGAAGGCGGATGGTTTTAAGAAAGAAGTTCTCCATCCACTATATTTCGTCGCTTCTCAGGCCCCTACTTCCATACCTGCTCAACTCCATCTCGGTCGAGGATAAGTGCAGAGTTATTGCCTGTAACTTTATCATTATCTGTTACCTTGCTTCTTGTCATGAAAGGGACTCCCTGTGTGATATAGACGACGGTGCTGAGTTTTTGTTTTAATATTTTTTTTAATTTTCTCATTTTTTATTAATTTTTCCGGAATCCTAGACACTTAATTTGCACCTGCTTTTTAGTGCATTGCGAATTGGTTTGGTAAGTGGGAACATTCAAAATTGTTCCCAAGAAAAAAATGTTATGCTGATGTTTTTTATACTCTAAGATCGCCTTCACTGTGATTTGGAGAACAGCAACAAATTTAGCTGTTTATATATATATATATATATATATATATATATATATATATATATATATATATATATATATATATAACAAAAATTGTCTGTTGACCACATGTGCCGATGTTTACAGAGTTATCGGGCGTTAACCAACTTATCAACTTTGTCCGGCCTAATTGCCTATATTGAGGTCAAGTATTCAGAGTTCTAAACAGAGTCAGTTCTAAACAGGCACACAGACTGCGACAGTTGCTGGGATTTTTGTCGGATTCGAGAGAAGTTCAATTACGACAGGAAACCATTACAGTTTATTTCAATAGAAATAAGATTTAAACTGAGGAGATTACTGCCCGCTATCAGATGTTTTATTCGTTTATTCTCTTGAAACATTTGCAAGAAAAAGGCAACAAGTGTAATGGTGGATTTTGTGTCTCTCTAAATAAATATAACATTCACACATTATATTTTTCAAAGCACCCCATGCTCAAAGTATACATAATAAATTGCTTACTCACTGAGCAATGACTTAACTTCATACATTATAGTTTAACAGTCCATCTTCGCTCGTGACCTGGCACTTTACCATGCTTATCAAAGTAAACACTTGGCCAACCTTTGGATGAAATGTCTACATGTATCGTATATTATAACTGTTCGCCAGCATGACAAGTGAGATAGTCAGCTATTTGTTGCAGTCTATGTCATTTCCAAACCAAGAACTTGATTTCAAAATGTTACCGAGACCTATTATTTATAGATACCTAATAACAACCAATACGAACTTTGACCGGGTGCGAGGATATTGTGGCTGACCAAAAGCAAAATGGACAAACTCTATGTAAATTAATTAAATAGGTCGTTAGATAATTGTAGCCTTTATGTGGACGAAACAACCACACAGATAGCTCATTCTCTATGAAACATCCTGGCGTCAAGTAGCTTAGTCTCTCAGCGAAGTGTCTTTATCTATCGCTGGATGAATACGGTGGTGATGAAAACAATAGTAATATTCGACCAGCATCACTTACGATAAATGTAATCAAGCAAATGTTGAAACACTGCCATACGATATGCCATCCCCATATGCATTATTGGCAATGATGCCAATGGTATGTGGACTCTCGTCTTCATTTATCTCCTCTTGAACAGGTGCTTCAATAGAACTTATACTCGTTTCAAAAGGCCGGGTGTCGTAAGAAAGACCGCTGTAAAGCGGGTTTTTGAACTCATCTGGCATACTTGAATCTGCACTGCACTGTCTTGATAGGTGAGTGTACGACCCATCATCCGAAGACCCATGATGAGATTTTGCCCTGAAAAAATATTAAAGTCCATGTGCATATGCATTCTGATCGTACCGAAATATGGGGTGCTCGATATACTCTCTACCAGGGCGGCGGAAGATATGTGTATTCTTCTCCATCGCCAGAACTGAATGACCGTCTATTTATTTAAAGATATATCTGTGAATATCTTGTGTAAAATCAATCTGTCGTCCTGGTCGAGGGTATGCCTGACTCACGTGGAAGTTTAAAAGCATGAACGAAATCGGGCTAGTCTATTTAATTCTGTTTATGTTAAATCGTGAATATTGTTCTTTTAAGCTATGCAAAGTTGTATTCGACAAAAGGTGTAAAGCATTTCTTTTATAAACGGGTCGTTTTAAAACGCCATATACCTTAAAAGCATTAACTTAACAATTATAGTCAAATACACATGCATTCCATGTGTATTTGACTATAATAATAGCTTGTTCCAGAAAGTGCAGAAAGTGTTCTTTTTTAAGGTAAAAATACTTTTTAAAGAATTAGATTAAAATAATAAGTTAGTTTTGGAGATGACGTGCAGAGATAACATCTAAACGACTCCTCAATAGAGCACATATATTAATAAAACTTTAGAGAGAGAGCGCACGTTGGAAGACGGATCAACAAGTGGGTGGAAATAAAAGATGCCTTTGCAAGTGAATAGTCTAACTAAAATACAGCACCAGTGGGGTCCGCATAACTCGAGCACTCTGAGCTGAAAAGCTTTCTTAAATTTACGCTGAGATTCAAGTTAGGGATTGTATCTTAATTTCAGCCTATACCAAAACAAAATTCAACCCAAAATATTTGTTCCAGATAAACGATATAAATCTAATTAGGCGGAGACTATACTACCCCTGTACATGTGCATGTGTATTTATGCATTTTTGGTTCCGTCGACCTTTCAATGTCACCAAGGTCGCACGTGAACCATCCATGAGAGAAGATGTCGCGAAAGGCGTCAAGTGTCCCTGACCACACAATGTGTGAACTCAAATTAATGTTCTTATCTGTTTATACTAAGAGTATACGTACGTATTACACTGGGTGAGTGTACTTAACCTTGGTCCCCCCCCCTTGACTCGATAAGGCGTAACATTTAATTCAGCAACTCTTCAATAGCAGATATACGCCGTTTATCTTACAGCTGGTGTCGTTATTGGTGATTAGCGAAATTTAAAGTTATCAAAACAAATACATATATGACCTCTAAGTGTATTGTACTTAGATTTCTCATACAGCTGGCATATTGTCTTTAAAATAATATTGATATATAAATCACTATGTCAACGCCCAAATTGAGTTGTAGGCCTATAACCCGTTAATTAATATTGGACATAAAAGTTGGAATGAAGTACAATTGTAGGTGGCGATATACCGTCCAAAATGAATTTAAATGTTTAGTACAAGTTCTTACCCTTTTCGCCGGCATATCACCGCGGTGGTTATTATGACAATCAGCAGTAAAAGGAAGGCACCCCCGCCTCCAGCCAAGGAAGCTATATTTTCTGCAAGACAACAAACATTTATCAAGTTTATTCAAAGTTTTCAGAAAGAAGGTACCGGAGGCACACAGTGCCTAAATTTCAAAATCCGCGGTTAGTAAATACAAGACTTAAGCCGATGCAGTCAGAATCAAGGACGGTGCTAGAATGTCGTGACAATGCTAACAACCCATTGTTATATCTAAAGATATATTTTAATGAATAAACTTGGTCGCTGTAATTTCAGAGTATGTGAGAAGGTCTGGTTTCCAACAAATCTGCTACTGGTTCTATGTTTATTAAATTCACAGTATAAACAGTCTTACCGGTCATGAATGCTAGTACTGCATTCCCACTACTTTTTGGTTCTGGATTGTCATCTGACTTCGTGCTTGCTTCAACTTCCAACGTGCTGCTCGGTGTTCGTTGATGTTGGCTGTTAATCTCAGTTGTTATCACGGGGTGTGTTTTTGTTGTAGTCGATATTTTGGATTTCGTTGCAGGTTTTGTTGTTGGGTTCGTTGGACTTTTGGTAGTTTCTGAAGCTTTTGTTGTTTCTTGTACAGTGGCTGTTGTAGGCGTAGTTGGAGTGGTTTTGGTTGTAGTGGGATTAGGCGCAGTTGTACTTGGAAAAGATGTAGGCACAGCGTGTGGCTGTATTTTTACAGTTGTATTCAAAACCGATTCCGACGTGATTTTAAAGTTTCCTGATGTCTCTTCTGTAACAGTTGGTGGGCGATTATTTTTGGTCGTTCTGGGAATGTTTGTGGGTGTGGTCGGATCATCTACAAATGTTATGTGAGGTGGTGCAGTTTTGATTACCTTGGGAGTAATCTTTCCTGGATTATCAGTTGATGAACCGACCGTTTTTGTTTCTGGGATATTTTCAGTTGTATGTTTTTCTGAAGTAGGAATGCCTCTGGTGGTAATACTTGTAACTGAAACAGTCGTGGGAGTTGAAGATGGAGTATGTTTTGTTGTTGCCGTTGTAATGGGAGTGACTGTACTTGTGATGAGTTTAGATGTACTGGAATCGGTTGTAGTTGTTCTGGTAGTGGATGTGGTTACACTTGGAGTAGCTGTGGTGGGAGTGGATGTCGTTGTAATGGAAGCAGTTGTAACGAAATCTGTTTTAGTTGTAATGGAAGTGGCTGTAGTTATACTGGGAGTAGCTGTGGTGGGACCATTTATGGTTGTAATGGAAGTCGTTGCACTGGAATCGGTTGTAGTTGTACTGTGGGTGAGTGTAGTTATACTGGAAATAGCGGTGGTGGGAGTTGTTGCACTTGTGATGGGAGCAGTTGTACTGGGATCGCTTGTAGTTGTACTACGGGTGGCTGTAGTGGCAGTAGCTGTGGTAGCACTGGAAGTAGTTGGTGGTATAGTGGACGTAGTTGTTGTGATGGTGTTAGAAGTAGTTTCTGGCGGAAGTGTTATGTTTTTAGCATCCTCGTTTGGACAACCTCCTTCTACCACCATGATATCGTCTATGGCAAGGTCACCAATGTGGTTTGTACCACGTTGAGCTTCGAACACTAGCTTGTAATTTTCGTTACTTCCAACCGGAAGTGGTACTCGGATTTCGTACCATGTATTGCCAAAGTCACCTGAATAAGAAGAACCTGGGTAATTGAAAGTGTAAATTACAATACAATAAGCTTATTGGAAAATCTAAATCGGAGGGAAAACCGCCCTTTTTTCGAAGGATAAACACTATATCTGTCATAATAATGACAAGATTAGCATTTAGAGTGTTAAGATGATAGAGAAATGCATCATACATTCTTGTAGGTTGATTTTCTCACCAGATTTCTGCCAGATGACTGGTCCGGGCACTTGCCTCATAAGATACACCCGTAACACACTATTGGCGATATATCCTCGCGAGTGAAAGAAGAAGACGAGGCAGGGAGAAGTCAGATTGTTTGACATCATGGGGGAAATAAGTGTGGCATTCGAAAGGGGGAATTTGCGTGACGCTTCCAAATACATGTAATGACCTGGAAAAATAGAAACCAAAAACTGCATACTTCACCTATTTACCGGTATTGTACATGTATTGTATTGTACTGTGACCAAACTGTGCACATTCAAATATTACACGCCTGCTTCTATAATCAACATTTGTATAAACATTATTATCCAAATTTAATTTTAATACAATGTAAATGCACATATATAAAAACGTGTACCAGTGAAGTCGGCATATGTATGATCTCCTGTGGGTCCAGTGCCTGAGGTCGCGGTGTACCCCTGGTGATACGTCCAATTAAAATTCTTCAGCCCATTCCCAAACCCGCAAATACCGTCCTCGAACGTACACAGGAAATCTGAAAATTAGTGGACATTACATAGACAACTGATCATTGTAATGACCATCACGAATATCTTTTGACCAAACATAATTATATCATCTTCTTGCAATAACGGAGCTATAAAACACTTGTTATTCACCTGTTAAGATAATACAATTCTAACGGTTCACGTAGTGGCAAACCAGTCATATGGCATAATATAGCACACATACTTTTATGCCAAGTGGAAATTAGATAAAGCAACCTATTTACTCTTACTTAAAGTTAACACGTATATTTCATCTATCGACAGTTTCGACCAAGATCACAAGCCACAGCAAAGTGGTTGAAAAGAGACAACTGTCACCCGATATGTGTATGACTATATGTAGTATATTTTAACTGATTTATTCTAAAGGTAAACTCACCTGAACCACAGTAACCTGGTGTAAGAGTTATATCATCTACAGCAATATCTCCCAAAGCCCCACTCCCCCGGACTCCCTCTATAACAAATCTTGTTGTCTCTGCCGGGACTGTCTGCGACGCCACGTGCCACTGGTCACCTTGGTCACCTTGAATAACATTAATTTATCTATCTATTCATTTTAACCTATTCATTCATCTAATTATTTTTTTTATGTTATCTTTATTTTATCTGCATTTTAAAGGCCCTGTGTAGAAATTTTGTTTTGAGTTGCTTACATAAACGCATGAATTTCCGTGCCATTGACATGTATGACCTGAAAGTGTGTTAAAAACCCAAAGTGAAAAAAAGAGAAAATGTTTAAAAGCGCGCATACTGTACAAGGTGTGGTCGATAGAATTATGGTTGCCAGTATGTGTCACACCATTACTGAAACATTCATCTTTATACTCCAAATGACTGCCTCTTGGAAACATATTGAACCTCACCTGTTAAAGACCACATGACCTTTGATCTAGTAGAATTCCCTTCATTCTGACTGCTGATCTGCAGCGTGCCTACTGTTCTGCCATACATGTGGTATGCAAAACGAAGACACCTCGGTATATTAAGTGATATAAAAGATGGCGAGATCATCGATGCTTTGTACCCTGGTCCTTTCATTGACGCCTCTATGAATATGTAGTAACCTAAAAAGGCAAACAATGGATCGGCAACTTAATATATTTTTTTTTCATATTGATATTTTCTGGGTGGTTGTTGATGTTGTTGATGTGAATGTGATGATGGTTGTTGATGTGAATTTCAGTATGTGCCACGGTATACTAACGTGCCTTATTTAGTATGTACAGTACATGCAGGATGCGTGTATAACGCGATAAGAATTGGACAGCTCTATAAAAATAACTGCATATAAACAAACGCTGACAAATGTGCATGCCAATATAATGTTCAATGCCTACAAATGCATGCACCAATACAGTTATGCGGGTTACTTTGGATGTATTGTCTTTGTTTACGTTGGCCATTTTATGACGCTGATTTATCATGATATCTTTTTGTTTGAGAGCACTAAGCTCCAATGGTTTTCGGATATATTTGTCCCATTATGTGATACCACCCCTGAGGGCATCGGTACGTGGAATTACCGTAACAACATTTACACTATACACCCGATGAATACATGACAAATAAAACTTCAATTTTAATTAAATTATTAATATATACCATTTTGCATTTTCCCATTTCACCAATAATTTTACTTAAACCCCACTTACACTGGACGGTGTCCTTTCTGCGTCCTTTGTGCGACCATGAAACTGGCATCGAGGTGGTCGTAGAAAGGAGGCAGAAGCATCGCTTTGGCTGCAGAATGAATGCTCAATGATCGCCCAGTTGTCGGCACGTAAAGTATTTTTACTACCAAACGACCGTACTACTGGACGCAGAAAGGTCGCCGTCCAGTGTAAAGGGTGCATACATTACGACATATAAGATGATATTAAACACAATCAGATCATAAAGATACAATACAAATATTTATTGCCAAAGGTTTCCCAACCTGCACCAGTGGTATGGTCGTGCTGAGGTCCTGTATCTCTCGATGGAGTACTTCCATTATTTCTAGTCCAGTTGAAATTATCGTCGGTGCTCTGCCGAAACCCGCAGAAAGGATCCATATCCTCGTCAAAATCACATTGAAACTCGGGTGTTACACTGTTAGCGCTGCCATGTAGTGTGCATAACAGGGTAACTGGGAAATAAGATTTTTCAAATTATTATGGAATTCAACAGGCTACCCTCGGTTTATTTTTTATTAATTTATTCATTTTAACAGACTGGAGGACCAAAACAGGAGGATACATTATCTTTTACTTATTAGAAAATACCAGTATGGAATATACAGCTGTAAAACTGTGCTGGAGTAGAAATTAAACAGAATAACATGCATTGTACAATCGAAATAACAACCCCGAGGATTAGATTGAAAACTATTTGGCAAATGAAAATATCTTACCAAAAACAATCCAAAACATCTTCATATACTCGTAGAGTCCGTATTCGATGCCAGTATATGCTGTGACTTTTGCCAACGTCAATAAACTTTCCTTATGATGTCACGTTAATGAAATTATAATAACTGATGATAAGAAGCAACTCTCCGAAACATAATAACATTTAAATGTCCCTCAATCAAGGCATGAGGTTAACGGTGAAGTGCTTGTTATGATATATATACGTATCTATTGTACTGAATATACCTGGTTTCTCAACACAATGCAACGTATTATTGTAATGATGGGAGCTTTTTTGATTAAAAGCTTATTTAGAAGAAATAATAAGAACAGATTATATCTGAAATATAAAGTAAGTTTATTTTATTTGGGCTTCTTTTGATATTTTTTTCAAACCAGTTAATTGTCAAACATGGGGCTTATTTTCAGACATATCCACAGGTATTACTGCAATATGACCCTGCTGATATACATATCTACAGTTCTAAAATGCAAATACCTTTCAGACACCGTCTGATAAGATATTCATAATTATATGTATACAGTGGTGAAAATATCACAAAACGTGTGTACAGAACATGTCCCACTCAACTTGAATGTACAGATAGCGGATGTGACGTCATGCCGACTGTGAGAATTTCTCCACAACTCGCCACTGACAGGCAAACTGCATCGTTTAAAACAACGTTGGTATGATCCTCTGCATTTAGTTGAAATCGTCTTCGGTTAAAAACAACGTATCATTTTCACTCATCTTTGCACTGCTTCTGTACCGAGCTGCCGGACCGAGGGGAAAATCTTAGCACGTAAGCAGTACCGCAAGTCCTGTGAGGTATATAACGCGCGCCCATCAATAAATATACACATAATTATGAACGATATCGTATGATTACATTCTACTAAAAAATAGGAAAATGCCATTGAATTATATTATAGGGATAACAACTGGGATAACCTTCTGTGTATGTTTACTTTTCACTTTTCACTTCAAATATAACTAAATTTGGACAAATTTTACTTTAATGAAACTTATTTTTGATGCCTATTAAATTGATGGCATAACAGCAATAAGGGTAATGTAAAGTAATTTTAAAACACTTACCAAGAAGACCTACAGCCGCCATCAGACAACCAATAATTCTTTGATCCGCGCTGACCGTCATCGCTGTGTTTGTTTTGTACTGGGGATGTTAATTGTAACGAGAATTCAGGAAATAAAAACACCAGCAAGTTAGAAGAATGCTGCTAGGGCGTTTCATTTACAATGCACCTCCCCTCTGCAAGATGACGCGTGACTTTTGATCATAGCTAGGGGCGGTTTGTTAATTGTTGTGACTAAAATAACCTCATTGCAGTCATATTAAATGTTGTTAAAGCAAAAGCTCGCTTTAACATTCACAGTCTCGTATAATGAACAAATCACAATAAATAGTTTTTAGTTTTGGTTACCATGAGAGAGTGACCGCCCCGTTCTACCTTTACAAATAAGCACATTAATCCAAACTAGGGTTGAAGATTACAATGGCATATATACATTCAGATAGATTTAACAGGATTAATTACGCTTACGTGATTCCAGTATTTGAAGACACAGAAATTTTGTGTTCTTTTAACAGATATGGTATGAAATAATTCACGCTCCCTTCTCCAAACGCGATCCCAACTAAGTTTCAGTCAAAGAGGTTTCTATATTTACTATATCTTACTATTTACACATATGACAAGATGACGAGATATATATATGTGTTAAGGCGTTCGTATGTGACTCTTATCAGGGATATGGCGTGCACATGGTTACAGTGTTTGCCTAGCAAACGAACAACTAAGGTTGGAAAAATCAAAGGGACCATTCAGAATGAAAAGAGCCGAGTGATAGTAAGTCCGCAACCTCAATATGGCGGACCTACATGAAAGGAATACCGCTTAACCCTGTAATGGTCTTTCTGCCTCTCACACGCCTCCCCACGCTGAAAACTATATGAATATACCGTTTTTGCATTTTCCCATTTCACCAAAAATTAAACTAAGGGTGTGTTAGATAATACTAAACACTTTTAAATCTAGGCATGAGGTTAATGGTGAAGTGCAAGTTATGATATATGTGTCCATTGTACTAAATATACCTGGTTTCTCAACACAATGCAGCCTACTAGTGTAAGAACTACAGAGGCCTCTATCGACAAGAGGGAAACTACACCAGACTTGATTAGTTAAGATATTCTATACTGATCACCCTTTGTGTTAATGCAGTATAACCTGATAAACTGGATTCCATCGATTAAAAAGAGTACAAAGACGCTAGGCAGTGCTTCTTTTCTATACGTTAATTGGGCAAAGTATTATTAAATGCGTCTTATCCGTGTATTCATTTTGCAAAACAATCAGTTACCAATACCAATGCAAAATTAAATTACATTGACACCGCGTCCACAGTGAATCTGTGTCTTTTCAAGATGGAGTACTCTTAATGACGACACGAAATCAAGGCTGGCGGTGTTATTGAATTGTTTTGAGAAGCCACATTAAATTGTGTCGTTTTAAAAAAGACATTTTATAGAAAGCCAGATTACCATCGAAAATATACCCTCTAGGTCCTTTGCGGATCCTCTGGCACATGGATCCACTTACCGATAAAATATATTTTAAGACAAGGTTATCAACGCCTTAAGCTTTTTTCAATCTCCACAATTAAATTTACGACTAGTTCTTCACGCTTGTTTGTACCGGCCTCGGTCTGGCAAAGGGCAAATTTATCACTAATTAGCTATAGACCATACCTGTAGCTCAGGAAACATCAAGATAAAATTGTTTTACTGTTTTACTGAGATTTTGCCCCAAAATATTCCGATTACAAATGTATATGCTCATAACCTAACACCCGATAACACAGGAAGGATGACTTGACAAAGACAGCATTTTATTTAGATCGTTCCTTCGTCAGTTATTGTGAAATATACAAATAATAACAAAAGTAATCATATAATAGGCATGTCTTTATTAATGGTAACATTTTAAAATCTGATGCATTCGCCCGAGATTCCTTTTTATTCTTACCCCCACCCCATTTAACATGCCAACTACAGCATATTCCTGTTAGTACAATAATTAAAAAATGATCACTTTATTTTATTGAACAAGAAGACAAGAAATACAAAATATGTCAACATTATGAACGTAAAAGAGATATAAAAAGCAGTTTAAATGCCCGGGCATACATCTCTGTTATCATCTGCACTATACTGTATAAAGTTTAAATAACCGCACAGTTGACAAACAATGTGACAAATTTTGCCAAATCAATGTTAGACAGAATGTTCAGATAGATCAAATTCTCAAATAACGGAAGCAAATGCCAGCAAAGATGTGCTTCTGTTATTCTGTTTAAATATACAAAATCAGCAGCAGCCTTATTAAAGATATTATGCGTTTAAGTAAAAAAGCGGGAAAAATGCTGTTGTCTATGGGCACTGGAAACTTGTATAGCTTTATAGGTCCAGTCAAAATTTGCAGACAAGAATCAACCGTTACTTGCACCAGGGATAACATTCTACATTTAAATTGCGTTGATAAGCCAGGACAGTTCTCAAAACGCCATGAAAAATATTTCATTCGTGGCCGTTACAACTCTGTGTAAAAACGTCGACACACACGTTGAGCAGCACTACGTCTCTGCCGACTACTAAAGGCCCAGCTATGCAATTACGTGTAGATCCACCTGTATGTGCAACAGTTAATTGTAAACCGGATTAGACCATCGTATTTTCGCTATTGGACTGTTAAACGGCTGCTGCTGTATTCCTCGGAGTTGTTCAGTATCAGAGTAAACCTGATTGTTGTATATTGTAGAAACCGAAGCAGTGCTCGATCTCTGGCTCTCAATACTGTTGCAGCGTTTAATAAGGATGTTCTCTTTGTCCGAAGCTCGGCGAGTTTGCTGTCTCTTTTGACGTATCCTGGAACAGGTAAAACCAGATAATTTAGTTTGCATGTCTATTTACAATTTCATTACGAGTAAATGAAAATAAAACTCTTTGATTATATCTGGTATTGCATATGCATTAACTTTACGAGTTTTCAATCTAAAAGCAGTGTAGATAAAAAACCCACAGTTTTTGGTCAGATAAATAACTTTCATTTTACAAACACCACATAAAAGAAGCAATGAAATACAATGTCAGTCCTGTTCTTCCTCTAAGTTTTCATCAGTAGTAAATTCTACATTAAGAGTCTCTACTGCATTGAGCTAAAGGTCTTCTTTTATTCACCTACCTTCTCCTGCAGATGCACCCTAATACCACCAGGATGATGAGGAAGAGCGCTGTGCCGGCTCCGATTATAATAGTATACGTCATATTCTCTGAAATGATATATAGAAATAAAGGTCGACATTTTCGACGAAGACCAGTGTTAAGATAAGCTTGAAATCCTATACATGTATATCATTTGTATATAAATCAGCCAAATGTATATAAATCAGCCAAAAATCAGCCAAAAAGCACACAATGCGTGTGCACGTTTCTAAGTCCACCACATCACAGTGTCTAAATGACCAAATATTTTACCTTTTAAAAACTCTAACACGGTGCTTCCAAAAGACTTCTCGGCATTTTGCGTAGTTGATTGTTGGTGGGTTTTGGTCACACAAGGAGGCGTTGTCCCTCCAGACTGAGTATGAGACACAAATGTTACGGTTGGTTTAATTTTCTTGATTGTGTTAGAGAAGCTTGGATGCATTGCGAAGTGCGTGGTCCAGCGTGGTTCTGACGTCGTTGTCAATTGCTTGTTTTTAACAAAAGAGTCTGTTGTCTCAGCACTACTTTTTGTTGTGGCTACCTCCAAAGACATCGCTGTTTTTAACCACGGCTTTGGTGATGTATCCATATTATCTTCATCTACGGCAGCCGTTGATGGTGTTGTCACACCACGAGTTGAAATCATTCGTGATAACGTGTTTGATTCCTGCAATGTACTGGTTGTCTCATTGTTTAAATATTCTTTTGATGACACTTTTGGTGCAGATGAAGTTACATGTGACTTAACAGAAAACGTGCCTCTTGTCGTTGTCAATGGCAAGGTGACTTCCTTTACACTTGACGTTGAAGAAAACGCGATTTTATTCGCAGCAGTTGCATTAAGCCTGTCGTTTATGTCTTCTTCAGAATTAGACGTCAATGTTTTTGTGTCTGTGTCTGATATTGATGAGTAGGTCGCAGTTTCAACGTCTAATGTATCCAGTGCTGATACTGTAGTTGTCTCAATTGTTGCAGTTGGTGACGCTGAAGCATAGCGAGCGTCAGTTGTTGTTGTGAATGATTTCTCATCTCCGATCATTGTTCCAGCTAATGTTGTGATTATTGAGTTCGTTAATGTTGACGCCGATTGTGCTGCAGGATCTTCTGTTGATACGGTGTCAGTTGCCTTTATATTGAAAAGTGTTGGTCCTACGGTTGTATCAGCAGCACCAGATGTCATTGGTGAGACACTGCTTAAGGCTGTTGAGGGGTCTGATGCAGTTGATCTTGAATCAATTGCCTTAGTAGTTTCAGTTGTACGCAACGGAGTAGATGTTTGTGCTCTAGTTGGTGCTGTCAAGGTTGAAGTGGGTGTTGCTGGCATAGTTGTCGTCGAATCGTATGCTGCTGTTGAACTCGGTGTTGTTGAATCGTCTACTGCTGTTGAAGTAGGTGTTGTTGAATCATCTACTGCTGCTGAAGTAGGTGTTGTTGAATTGTATACTGCTTTTGAACTAGGTGTTGTTGAATCATCTACTGCTGCTGAAGTAGGTGTTGTTGAATTGTATACTGCTTTTGAACTAGGTGTTGTTGAATCGTATACTGCTGTTGAACTAGGTGTTGTTAAATCGTATACTGTTGTTGAAGTGGGTGTTGTTGAATCGTCTACTGCTTTTGAACTAGGTCTTGTTGAATCGTATACTGCTGTTGAAGTAGGTGTTGTTGAATCATCTACTGTTGTTGAAGTAGGTATTGATGAACCGTCTACTGCTGTTGAAGTAGGTGTTGTTGAATCGTCTACTGCTGTTGAACTAGGTGTTGTTGAATCGTCTACTGCTGCTGAAGTAGGTGTTGTTGAATTGTATACTGCTGTTGAAGTAGGTGTTGTTGAATCGTATACTGCTGTTGAACTAGGTGTTGTTGAATCGTCTACTGCTGTTGAACTAGGTGTTGTTGAATCGTATACTGCTGTTGAACTAGGTGTTGTTGAATCGTATACTGCTGTTGAAGTAAGTGTTGTTGAATCGTCTATTGCTGTTGAACTAGGTGTTGTTGAATCGTCTACTGCTGCTGAAGTAGGTGTTGTTGAAGCGGGTGCTGTTGAAGTAGGTGTTGTTGAAGTGGCTGCTGCTGCAGTAGGAGTTGTTGAAGGGAATGCTGTTGACAAAGGTGTTGTTGAATCGACTGTTGTTAACTTAGCTGTTGCTGAAGCGGCTGTTGTCGACGTAGTTATTGTTGATGCAGTTGATGACGTAGGCGCTGTTGAAGTGACTGTTTTAGACAAAGTTGTGGTTAAAGCGGCCTTTGTTATCGTAGTTGGCGTTGACGCAGCAGTTGTTAAGGTAGTTGTCTTTGAAGCGGTCGTTTTCGCCTTAGGTGTTGCTGAGGTGGCTGCAGTTGACGGTGTTGTTGAAGCAAATGCTTTTGATGTAGTTGTTGTTGAGGAGGTTTTAGTCAACATAGTTGTTGTTGCAGGAGGCATTGTGATGTTTACCAGGGGGCGCTGATTGTCTGCGCAGACGCCGTTAACAACGATGACGTCATCAAGGGCGATATCGCCTATGGAACTTGTACCCCGCACAGCTTGGAAAAGGATAGCTGTTGAGTTTTCTGGGAGATCTACTCTTGCCTCGTGCCAGACATTTTCATGATTCCCTACAGAAGGAAATCACACATTTATTTATTTATGTTTTTCGTTGACTCCTGTGCGATGATGATAAAAGAGCTGACGTTAAAAATTCAGTAATGTTACATTTAATGAAGGTTCGAATCACCATACCTTATGTTTTCGAGTCTTTTCAAAGTGGTTTACTGTTTATTATTTTATGTAGTTGCCTCGAATTAAATGTATTATCCTGGCCAAAATCATATATGTGTGTGTGTGTGCGTGTGTGTGTGTGTGTGTGTTTCGAAAACTAATTGGTGCTGAAAACCAATTTCGATTCGATTCGAAGCCGTAACACTTGGTTACAGAAAAACTGGAATGCAGCCACAGTTAATATCACTGTAAAAGTTGAACATTTTGCCCAATTTTTTTACATATGTGAAGTGGACCTACATATTTTGGAGGGAGTTGATCAAATTTTATTCAGTCAATGTACATGTACGATTTATGTTGTAAACTTGGACGATAGATCTTGACCAACTAGAAGTATTTTACCTTTTTTTTGTAACGTGCAGGGCCATGCAAAATGTCTCCAATTTTTATTCTTATTTTCTAACATACCTGATTGTTTCCACAGCAGGGTTTCGTCGGACGGACTGTCATCTTTCAAAACAAACACGCGTAGACAGCCTACTAAATTACCCCACATATGATAGAAGAATACAGCACATTTCAACGGCATTGGTGGATTCAACTCCAATTTGAGGGACGCCGTTGTATCGGGCATTTTACCACTAGCCTCCAGGTAAATATACCGACCTAAACCAATGAAAGCACATACAATCAGATAATTGCTCAACAATGAACAGTGGTAACATTTTTGTTGTTGTTGTTGTTGTTGTTGTTGTTGGAGCTAAAAACACTGAGGACTAAATTCCCGTTTTGATTCTGAAAAAAATAAAATAAAAAACAGAACGCTATTATAATATCTCCGCCAATAAAGGTGAAATCTCCCAAAAAAAAATAATGCTTTAGGTTTTGATTGTTTGTTTGATAAGTTTTCATCAAACATACCATACAAACAATTGCCGCCATAACCAAACGGTTCTTTTGATGAAACTCAGATATATCTCGTTGCTAGCAGATGATAATTATTAGGAAATAACAAAGCTAACCTAATGTAACGTCCTCATTACAGCAGCAGCATGTTGTAGAGCATATATATGCGTTTACTTTCCAAACCCGATTGAGGGTCGAAATGGCAAGTCTCATATGTAGAAAATACATTGACCTCTCTTGAATAGTTCTATTTTTTACCATATATTTTTCATGGTTATACTCATTATGTAGCCCCATATATATATATATATATATATATATATATATATATATATATATATATATATGTACACACCTGTATGGTCAGTAAAGGTGTGGTCCCCCGTTGGTCCAGTCCGGCTACTGGGCGTATACCCCTGGTGGACCGTCCAAGTGGCGGTGGTTTCATTGGCGAGCCTCGGGGGTACATAATCGTGATAGGCGCATGCTTGATCTATTTCAAATGTGCACGTCATTTCTGAAATGCCGGATAATATTCGGAATAGAGGCTCACCCATAGCAATGATACAATGTATTTGGAAGTATTGATTCTAGGTGTATTGTATTCAATACCACCGTGGCGCTTCATCAAATTGATAGGAAATGCTAAAATAAAGTCATTTTCTTAAATGGATGAAATTGTGAGGATTATTCGCGTCTTCCGAAAATGTTTATAATACTGTGCACACTCCCATTGTCATTGCCGCTGATATAAACACTGACAATTTTTTTTCTTCTATACGAGTATGTACATGTATTAAGGAGGTTAATTTCGTCAACTGAATTATCAAATGAAGAACAGTCCTCATGTGCACAATAGATTTTTTTTTCATCCGGTGTGCAGGTGTGCATGTGTGTGTGTGTGTGTGTGAGCAGGGAATAATATCGGATATAATCGTCTGGTGTGTGTGAGAGAGAGAGAGGGAGAGAGACGGTGCATATCGCTACTGGTCCAAAATCGGTAGAAAGTACTCAGCATGCAATCACAATGAATGTAACCACACATCATGTACCCAGTATTTACCGACCTGCATCACATGGACCTCGTGTGATGACAACGTTATCTACGGAGAGACTGGAGTGCGTCAGTACTGTTGACACAGTTGAACTCGCGTTAAAAAACACCAAAGTGTCACCAAGTGCCCCCGTGCCTTCTGCTGGTGGAAGGGTGACACGAGCATGTCGCCATGTCCCGTTGCTAATCTCTGAATCTGGGGCTGCAGGTGAAAATGATAACATAATTGATATTAATATGATAATATGGATTACATCAGCTAACGAGGATTATGAAATATGATAGGTCCACAAGTCAAGAACGGCTTTACTGATCCTTGAGACACTGCATATCAGTATGATGATCTGTTGGAATTTTGGAGAGAGGGTGCGTGTTAAGGCATATATAGGCCTACGTACTGTGTTTATATAGATGACCCTTTCGTTTTGTGACACGATCTACACAATAAACCATATTTTAGTATTTTCCTTCCTAAGCACAGTTTGTTTGTTTTTTTTCGGCAGTCTGCACATTGAGGGAGTTAACCACATAATTATTTAAGTAAAAGATATCATTATTAACTGTAAATTATGCATGAGGCTACATTGGTTGGTTTATGTCTCACGAGTGTCACTTACAATGTGACGACCAAATCACATCAATCTGAGTTGCGTTTCCAGACATAACAGCAACATCTATCGTCAGTGAAACGCCAATCTGAAGGTACAGGAAAGCGAGACACCGCGGTATGTACAGCGGCGGCATGGGCGGTGACCGCAGTACAGCGCCTGTTTTTAAAGTCGTGTTAGCAATGACATGCGCAAAGCCACCTGTAATGGCAAAAGACAAAATTTGTAAAATTCACACATTGCACTTAGCCTACCCGGAACAAGGAGGTGTTCCTCATACACCCCTTGGAAGGCAATAGAAATAGTCTTTTTGTCTCAATATTTCATTAATAATCATAATTATCATTATACATGTCGTTTCTGCTCATTGCATAACAAAACAATCCTTTTCTCCTTTTTCAATCTAACGTTATTCATATGCTGTTTAATTCTGCCATTTTAAACATCCAAAGAACATACATAGATCAGAAATTTGAAAATTAATTTAAGCATTACGTATACCATAGACTGGTCTTTGCTCCTTTATTACATACAGTATTTGCATGTTATTTTTACTTCTCATCTCATTAAAAAGGTTGAATATTATCATGGACATACCGTCCCCGTTTCTTCCTAACGTCCATTGCATGTTATCTAGGGAAAGCTGTGTAAAATTGCACCAATGTTCATTAAAGGTGCATTCCACTTCCGCCTCTTTACCATTAACCCTTTGACCTAGATGATAGAAATACATGTAGCTATAGCTATACAAAGAGTTCATATATGGAGTTGTTTTGTAAAGTATAATTTGTTAAGTCTACAGCTGCTTCTAAAATAGCCTGTGCTAATGTTACAAAGATATGCGTGATGGCTTTGATCTAGGTGTTGCAATTAAAAAGCTTTTTCAGATTTGTCTTTCTCGTTAAACAGATATTATGGAATAATTGTGTAGTCGGAATCTCCTCTCTCTTTGTTTTATATTTAACTCTCGACAGAAACATACATTTTATAGGCATGTAAAGTATGAATATTAATGAAAATATTTGTTTTCTTTCAGGTGGGAAGTTCCTTCCATTTAAGAAATCCCCGCCATATTGCAATGAAAACATGTTTAAATGCGGACTTGTTTTTACTTTAGTTTCCACATCATAGTATCGAATGGGTGTATGTTACTCACCTGTTGTAAAATAGAACAATATGAAGTAATATACAGCGAGGAATTTCTCTGGTCTTGCCATCTTTCCCTGGGAAGTGTGTGTGAAATATCCACAAGCGTTATTTCCGGATATGAGTAAGAAAAATAAGTCTCCCTTTCGTCTTTCCCTAGCATTCGTAAATATTAACACGGTTGAGGATTTCATAAATGGACATTTGTTTATCTATGGTACTTATTGATAAGGGGTAACTTTTGAATTTAAGTCAACGTGCCAAATTTTATAATGAGTTAGAATGATTGCACCCGTCGCAGATTGAGGTTAATTACTTGGCCGAAGGTAAGTTTTTTAAAAGAATCCAACAGTTGTTGAATAATGGTGGTCTTATTTTCAAAACTTGGACGTTTTGAAATACATGCATGTGTAAATATAGATGTATATGAAACTTTTTTTTACTTCAAACAAATGTGCTTGGAGTTCGCTTAGGAGACAGCGCATAACACGTGCATGCAACAGTAAGAAGCTTTGCATTGACTTTTAATTTTTTTTTTTAATCTTTATAGGGTTTTAAACATCGATTGGCTATTTTGGATGGTACTTTCACTTTCAGGGATGCATGTCACCTGATAAACGCATTGAGCAAAAATTACTCCTATGTCAGGAAAGAGTGCTTTAATTATAAAAAAAAAAAGAAATCCCGTATGTAACTCAAATGAGTTCATTTAATACAGCTGGTTTACAGAAACAGCTTGATTTGCCTGAAACCCAACCCATCAAACTACAACATGGCCTTCGGTTAAAGGATGTTTTAGGACAGATATAGAACAGTACAGATAGAATATTATAGGCTACAAATATAATAAAATAAAATACCCAATTAAGCCAAAATATTTGTAAGTATATAAGCTTACAAGCTGACAAAATTATTAGGTATGATGGAAATTTATAAAGTACAATACAATATGTGGACTTATTAAAAACAGAGAAAATACAATCCAAAAAAATAATTCACTTTACAGAATTACCACATCAAATCTTCTAAAGGCCCTAAAATTCGATAAGCTGGTTAACAAACACAACTGACCCGATTTTCGAGGCACTGCTACATATAAAAATTCAGTGGACATTAAATATTGTTTATATACATCAATTGGAACTCATCGTAATCTGTAGGTATACAGTAGAAATATGTGAAAAGATAAAGATGTCACGTACTCATATAGAATTGCAAATCACCTTCTGTGAGGATAAAACAATTCTTTTGAATACACAGGGCGCTCCGAGTGTCTACTCAATTAGTTCTTCTCCTAAATAGCACAGAGTCTAAAATAACCTTTATTGCGTCACCAGACAACTCCGCTTTGTATTGGATAACACTTTGTGAAAGCCATAACTGTTGCTATGTAATGGTCAGACCAGTGAGCTACTTGCGCTTATAAATACGGCCTACTAAGATTGGTCGCCCTATGTTATTTCGGTCCATTCCCAATGGAAACAGGTCTTAAGATGATCGACCCAAGATGCTTCTTGCATAATCGCATCATCTGTTGACGTCAGGAAGACAATGACATTAGTTTTCTTATGAACGAAGCCTGGTTAGAATCAAAGGTTATAAGTCAGTTCTCCCAATATGTAAAATGTCATTGTGGAGACATTTCCATTTGCTGCGCAGTGTTGGTTTCTAGCTCATCGGCTTCTTTATCAGCACTATGGGAACCCTTACCAATCTCCTCATCATCACCCGGCTTTTCGTAGATATCGACCGCTGATTTCTGCTTTCTGGAAATTATACGGTTTTAAACTACATGTACCTGTATGTGTGGAAGAAAGCGATACGTGTAGTAGTAGTAGGAAGTGTGACGGTGAGTAGTATGAAATATAAGAGTAACGTTAAAACGTTAAAATGGCTGTGTAATGAGTGGCAACGCATAAGGTGAAGATGAATCGATGGCGTTCATATCGACAAAACAACAATTGAATCAAACTGAACATGCTGTATTAAAACACGCTTGAAAGTATGCAGGTAGTTTATGTTTGAAGAAGAGATACTTTGGGTGAACTGTTAACTTTGAGTTGACTCACAGTTTTACGGCAGCGATGACGGCTACAGTTACTAAAATTATGACCAGAAGTCCTCCGCCTCCTGCACCAGTGGCTATAGCTATGATTTCACCTCAAACAGAAAACCACATTCAATCATTTAGAAGCCGGTGACAGTACTTCATTGTATCATTATGCATCATGGTACAAAAGTTGATCAGTGAAAATAGTCAAAAATATTAAAAATATACGATAGAATATTTTAAAAAAAATTACTTAAAATTAATGCAATTTCAGCAAATCCAAGCATAGGGGCCATTTAGATTTTGTCGTAGATCTCAAAGGTCTCAATTCCATTGGCCATATTGACCATTTTACTTACAGATGGATAGCACATGATCCTAATTTGGACGTCAGAATACTCCATTTCCTGTGAAACCCACAGATAAACCCGTACTTACAGAGTTTTGCTCATAACAGGATGTGTTAGCGGGCTAGAAATTGCCTAATCCAAATGGTACCCATTTTAACCATAATAAAAACCAAATGACAGCTAATTACTGCCCACATTATCCTATGATACGCAAGCCGATAATTAATTGTCCATGTTGGAAGAAAGTAACTTGAGACCTTATTATTGATTATTGAAGACAAGCCGAAAATCACAAATGTACCGTTACCTTCGCTTCCCTTGTTTTTGTCTTTGTTTCCTTGCTTTGGTTCCGTTGTTGGAAAAGCTTTGACATTCGAATCACCATTTGTTGTAGCAGAAATCAAACTAGTCGCTGTAGTGGTTGTTTCGAAATTAATCACGTTACTGGCGACATTCGAGGCGGTCAGGAAAGGTGAAGTATGACTACTTCCCACATTCACGAAAAATGTCGCAGAGGGTTGGTTTGCGTCTATTGTTTTTGTCACACGAGACGCCTGCTCATTCGAAGCGACCCCTTTGGTCTGTTCTGAAACTGTATTCAACTCTGTAAGAGTTGTGACTTCGAGCTGTAAATACGCTGTCGCTGACGGTGTTACTTTCGACGACGAAACTGCTTGTAGAGTTGCATCTGCGGTGACAACTAATAGGTTAGGCAATGACAACTGAGTCGTAGCAACAGAGGGAGGAGAAAAAGACGAAGGTGTTGCACCAGGTAACAAAGAATATGTATCCAAAGAAGATGAAAGTACTTGTGCTACACTTGAGGACGAAGCAAAGACTTGTTGCGTGGATACATACCGTACACCAGTAGTATCAGAAAACATGTTCGAAAACGTTGACGACTGAGTGATATATGAGTTATCCGTCACCAAAACGGTGCTGGGCTCATATGTATGTATATCAGAAAATGCATTATTCCAAATACTTGAAGTTTCGAATGAAGAATCTGTTGTCGTTGGAATATCCACGTCACCGTTTCCTGGACAAGTTCCATTTTCAATGATTACGTCATCTATGGCAATGTCTCCTAAAGCGCTTGTCCCACGGACTGCTATAAAAGCTAAGTCGCCTGCTCCATCTGTGATATTTACTATTGCTTGTTTCCAGTCCGGTCCTTGTCTCCCTGTTAAATACGAAAAAGACACGTATTCAGGCCTGCAGTCAAGCCAGTTACCTCACCAGTTACTACATTACAAACATTTGCCAACTTGAAATGTCTCAGTAGTTTAATACTGCCCTGTGCCAGCATATTGCGTACATGTAAATACACAGAGATCGACATTAAAGAAAACATGAAAATAATGAAATAATTGGGCATTATTAACCTTAAACGTTAAGTTTAATTAATTGTAATTTGCCAATGCTGTTTATAACTGTGAGAAGTTTTTACCCTCCGTTTTGGTTATTGGCTCTCT